CTTTATCAAAATTGCAAATTAATCACGACTTTTGGACTTTGGCGCACAATATCATGATTTTCAATTTTTGGCAATACGGTACATGAAATTCCTCAGCTCCCAAAAAAAATCGACGTGGCTTAAATTTGCCACCGCGGAGGCTTAGCTGGCGGTCCACCTCGGATCAATACGGCGTCGTTTTAATTCTTTTTTATCCACGCCAGATCAAAACGAAGTCGTTTCGATATCCTAGCAATGCTGAAGTCATTAAACCCTAATTCCCTAATTCGGAAAAATGCAGAAAAAATCAGAAAGATTCAGAAAAACCTAATAAGCCATAACCCTAAGCCCTAATTCCCTAATTCCATAATCAATCAACTTCATGGTTTCCAAATTCAGAAAAATTAAACCTAATAAGACATTAAACCCTAATTCTCAATTTTAACAATCTACAGGCTTAAAGCAATTACCATGGATACATGTAAAATAGGCTTACAAATCGATTTTTGCACTTGTAGAACCTCCTATTTGAATTTCGATCGGTATTAGAGGTCAGCAATTCGGCCTCACCATGGATACATGTAAATTTTGATGTTGTACTCCTAGATGAGCTAGATTTAGTTGACATTTTGCCTACTCCTTCTTCTCCGATGACGAAAACCCAGCCCCAAAAATTTTCTCCTGCAGATTGAAGAAGGGTTCATCGACTGATTTGGGGATTTAATCAGCAATTTACCACTCAAAACGGCGTCGTTTGATATGAGGTGGAAAAAAATACTCAGATATCGAAACAACGTCGTTTTGATCTGACATGGATAAAAGAATTAAAACAACGCCGTATTGCTCCGAGGCGGACCGCCAGCTAAGCCTCCGCGGTGGCAAATTTAAGCCACGTCAATTTTTTTTGGGGAGCTGAGGAATTTCATGTACCGTATTACCAAAAATTGAAGATCATGATATTGTGCGCCAAAGTCTAAAAGTTGTGATTAATTTGTAATTTCGATAAAGATGGTGATATTAGGCGCAATTTTGCCTTAAAAATAAGGGAAATTTTTTTTCTTTACCACATGAATTTAAAGATATTGCATATATACGATAGAAGACACTTTATTTGCATGATTACGCTGCAATTAATTGTGGTGAAGCAAAAAATTCATTACCAAAGGAATTCAGATTCCACGTCTCCTAAAATCACGCATGTATATGATTTATTCTGAAAAAGAAGAGTAAGTATATAACCGACAAATTAGGAATAGTTCGGCCATACCAAAAGGAAAAAAGTAGAATTTGAAATTCAAACGTACGGATTCTCTCCACTCTCCATATATAGAAAATAAACGATAAAAAAAATACAGAATATACATGATTGCAAAATCATTATTGTTGATTATATAAACATCCATCGAAAATATACGGAATATACACGATCAAAAAATTACTAATCTTGGAGAATCTCGAGTGTATATCTTATGTATATTTTATGTACATGTCGGTTTTGAAATCGATTTTGAGAAACGATTGAAACTCGAGTGTGTAATTAAAGTATATATTATGTGTATGTGTAACACCCCGCTTTCTTACTAATATCAGAGTAAAATTTTTCGCAAAAACTTTTCAATTAAAAACTCATTTATTTGCGAAATCTTTAAATCGGGATGCTACTAAAACTTTTATGTTCTGAAAAACCCATTATCTTTATTTAAGTATAACTGTGAAGAAAAACAGATTACATTTAATCAAACTAGCATGTAAAATTGAACAAGATCCGACTACTAAATCAGACCAAAATCTGAAAACTGACATGCAAGTTCGAAAAATTGTAAGTGTTAGTGGAAATAAAAGACGTGGCAAAATATATACAACAAAGTCCACAAAACGGCATTTGGCCGAATCCACGACCACCGAACTGAGCTCACACCTCGGGTCCAACCCTGTTATCTGAAAAAGAAAAAGGAGTGGGGCGTGAGCACTAAAAGCCACTATACTCCGCAGAAACCCATACGAAAGTAAACAGAAATAATAATTACAATATCATGATCAACAGTATATAATCTGAAACTGAAACTGTACTGATACTGAAACTGATACTGAATCTGCCGGAAAAGCTGGGCCGGAATCCATGTGCACACTCCAGTGGAAATATTAAGGCTATCTGAGCCACCACCAGAACTTAGAATGGACTTACAGTATCTGACCACCACCCTAAGTGGAAATTGAATATACATACCTCGAACATAATATATGTAATTATACTCAATGTAATACCCAATCTGGGTCCCCACCTGTGCTGACGTAAATGCTGATTGATCTGCTCACTGCTCAACTGTAAAAAAAAATATAATAAACAAATGCTAAGTGATATGCTCAGACTTACTAAAATAAATGCTAAGATGCTCAATTCTAACTGA